AAAGATGGGGGGATAGCATGCTGGAGGTACCTGGGGGAGCAGGAGGTATATAAAATGATTGAGATGCATTGTTATATGAAAAAACATCAAAGAATAAACACAAGTTATTATATTTTAAAAATAAAGTCTCAGACCTAAAAAAGGGGTTGGCCAGGAAACAAATTAACTTCCACATTTAATATGTAATGTCTTTGGTCTAATCCACTTGTTTTTACATCTGATTCTTATCAGATGTAAATTTGGGATTGGGCAAGGAGACTACTATGCAGAAAGAGAAAAGTAAAATTCTAAAATTCCTAATTTTATAGAAGCCATGAACATGAAGTGTAAAAAAAAAAAAAGAAAGAAAAATTAAGACATTAGGTTAGCAAAAATCAATACTAAAAAAATTTTAAAGAAAAAACCCTAATAGCCCAACACAAAGATTCTAGATATTTAAAATCATCAGTGATATTATCTATTATTAAGAAAGTCAAATGAGCTGCGGCATGGTGGTACATACCTTTGATATTAGCACTTTGGAAGGAGGCAGAGGCAGAGACTGGTGCATCACCGTGAGTTTGAGGCTAGCTAGGTCTACACAGCAAGTTCCAGGCCTGACAAGGTTACATATACATAGGCAAATCAAACATGAAATAAAAAGATGTAAATGTGAAGAAATGTATTAGAAATCTAAGACACGATGCCGCAGCTTTAGGGAATGCCGTGTAAGTATAATACAGGAAAAACATCAGTTGTACACTGAGGAGAGTGGAGACCTAAGAACTGTATGCTAAAGGTGAACTTTATAATCAGACTAGCTCTCCAATTAGAAACAACTAATTAGAAAAGCTGCTGCTGCTGGTTGGTCACAAAAGAAAAAGATCTTGCTTAAAGCATCAGAGAACAAGGTACTGAGAAAATTTAAAATCAAGGTGAAGAAAGAAGACATCCAGAGTCCACCAGCTTTGGCTGTGTCTCTAGGGACAGCAGCTGACCCAGGAAGACGTGGTTGCTGGCACAGCTGCATAGGCCATTTAGCACAATGCCTGGAGCAAGTTCAGACTGGGACCTTAAAGGATTACATGCTAGGAGCATGGAAGAAAAGACTGAGAGGAAAGAGACCAGCTTTGGTCTAAACGACAAAAAAATACACTTCAAATCAGCCTAATCCTTGGCTGGAATTAACGCACTCTACACTGCTGTTGCTCTTACAGTGATAAGTCAGTCTCCAGAGGAAGACAGCTCATAGGTCTCGAGTCATCTTAATAATCTATATAAGGATCAGCTCTATACAACAAAACGGGGCCTCCATGATGACAAAATTATGTTTCTTTAAAAGAACATTAACAATACAGAGCTCTGTAGCTACAGAGAAATCCAGAAAATGAAGCAAATTTTAAACTTAAACTATGCTTAGTATATTAAAAACAAGAAAGACAAGGATTTCTCAGCAAGTCATAGAAGACATAAAGTCAGACCAAAAGGAAATTATAAATAAAACAAAACCTTTTCAATCTATGAACTCAATGGCTGGTTTGATAAGATACAGGGTATGTATCTATATCTATCTCAAGGCTTAGGGCTAAGGAGATGGCTCAGTAGGTGAAGTGCTTGCTGAGTAAGGACTGAGTTTGGATCCTTAGCACTTTCGTAAGAAACTGGCATGGAGACATGTTTCTATAATCCAGAGATGAGGAAACAGGAGGTTCCCGGGGTCTCCCTAGCCAGCAGTCCAGTCTAAAGGGCTAGTCCCAGGTTCAGTGAGACCTTGTCTCAAAAAATAAGGTGGAGAATGATAGGAGAAGACTCCTGAGGTTGACCTTTGGCCTCTAGACACAGACCTTTGAGTGCACACCCCCCGCCCCCCCATAGTCGTGCGAGCACTGCACCTTAGCCAGGTAGTACTATCATGCCTATGATCTAGTACTTGGGAGGCTGAGGAAAGAGGATCTTGAGTTTGAAGTCAATCTGGGCAATTTATTTAGACTATGTCAAAGAGACAAAAAGAAAAAAAAGAAAAAGAAAAAAAAGGACAAAAAAATTAAAAAGGGGGGTTATATAAAGAGACAACAACAGAAACAGTATTTTAAGGAAAAAAAATAGCTGAAAAGTTTCTGAAATTCATGAAAGATACCAAAGTCAGATCTAAGTATTTCTATGACTCCCACTCAGAATAAAGAAAAACAAAAACATATACAGGCTTAAAGTAGTTCACTGCTGAAAACACAAACAAACCAACCTCAATCAATCAGAAAAATAGTGAAGACAGCTGGCTGGCAAGGGTTACAGCTGGCAGGGGTTCAGGGTGGGGACATTTTTGGGATAGAATAAGAACAGATGACTGAGATGATCAAAAAGCTCCCAAAAGACACACTTAAAGGTTCTGAGCCTGTGGGTCATAACCCAGAAGTATTTACTTTATGATTCCTAACAGTAGCAAAATTACAGTTATGAAGTAGCAACAAAAATAATGTTATGGTTGGGGTCATCATAACATGAGGAACTGTGTAAAAGGGTTGAAGCATGAGGAAGGCTGAGAGCCACTGGTTTAAAGATGAGTGTTCAAACAATATTTAAAGGTAAAAACTTTGGTGAGTTGAGGTAAATTTAGAACAAGGTTATTGCTGTAAATCCCAACACTGGGGAAGTTTAGGTACAAAGACCGCTGGGAGTGTAAGGCCAGCCTGGGCTCCCTGGCAAGACATTTGTCTAGGAAGAAACACAGACAGAAAGAATGAAGGACAGAAAGGAAAAAAGACAGAAAAAAAAAAGAAATGAATAAGTGATTTCTTAAGTACTTTGAGTACTGAATACTGTAGATACTGAAATGTATGGAAAAAATACAGATATATGTGTATAATTATGTCACAGAGGACCAGGTATTATATAAAATCCTTTTTTCTTTCTTTCTTCTTTTTTTTAGATTTATATACTTTATTTTTATATATAGCTATCTTTAGACACACCGGAAGAAGGCATTGGGTCTCATGCCTTCTTGGCTCATAGTAGATGGCTGTGAGCCACCATGCTGTTGCTGGGAACTGAACTCAAGACCTCTGGAAGAGCAGTCAGTGCTCTTAACCACTGAGCCATCTTTCCAACCCCAGTAAAACCTTAAAAGAGAAAATCATCTACCTATAAAGAAATAAAATGGAAACTTTTCAATAGAAATTTTTTCAATGCAAAATTTTCTCATTATAAAACTGATATAAAGAAAAAAAGTATAATTAAAAAAGAATCTGATATCACATAGGAACATAAATAAACATCTTAAAATACTACAGAATTCTGGACAGTATATTAAAAAAAAGAAGCTAAGTAGACTCATTTAACAATGCAAAGTAAGTTTAACATTAATAGAATAACCCATAACTGCATACTATTAGTAAAACAAATACAAACAGGTACAGAAGCCAATCATAAAATTTAAGCACACACAACAAAACAACAAACCTAGAAGGCTAAGGTAGAGAGAAGTTTAATGGAATAACAAAGAACACACTTAGCAGCATTCTAACTAAAGTATCAGTATAAGTGTTGCTCTGGCTTAACATGATAAATACACTTTATCACTCTATTTGTATCTATTAGTTACTATGTCCAAGTGTTCTAGTACTTTTAAAAGAGCACCCGATTTCTCAACAGCAGAGAATAGTTCCAACATACTGAGATTTTTGACGCGCCGGGAAAACGTACAAACTTGCTCTGGAATCATGTCGCCAGTATTAAAGCGTCTATTTACCCAAAGAAAACACACAGGTTTGTAAAACTCTAATTCTGTTTTAAACTTTTAAATGCTGCAGACCCATCTGTTACTGATTTAAATCAAAGCAAATAAAAATTTTATAGGCCTTAGATGACAGACACACACACAATTTTGTACACAAAGGCCACCCACAGACTTCGAATTCCTGTTTTAGAATCGTTCTTCCACCCTCAACCTGAAACGTTAAGCTAAGGTATTCTGGAAAAGAAAGCCAAAGGTATGAGCTTGGATTCCAAGTTGCGTAAAAGTGACCTTTGGGGCGTTCAACCAACTTCTGGAGAGGCTGTAAATAGCTTTTCCATGACTTTTGCTCCCTATCCTTGTCCGGGCTGGGCCAACGTCGCCGCGCTCGCAGAATACCCAAACTCGACGCTTTGAAGCGGGTCAGGTTGTTCCCCCTCCCAACCCCCGGTGCCCCGCAAGTAAAAAAGGGACAGGAAGCGCCGCTTTTCTTTCCAGCGGCGGCATCCGTGGGGCCGGCGGGGCGCGCCGGGGAAGAACGCGCGGCCGTACCGCCAGCAGACACCAGACTTGGAGAATCGCCCCGCACTCGCCCCGGGCAGGCAGGGCGAAGCGACGTCTCCCCCCAATAACGGCTTCAACCGCCTCCTGCCAAGTCCCCGCTCTGGCCTCCAAACTCGCGGCCCAAACACCTCTCACTCACTGGAAAGTGGGGCCGGGGCCGGGACCTGGGCCGGCCCCGGGAATTCGGCGGGTCTCCCAGGGTTTGGGGGGCGGTGGCGGCTGGGAGGCCATCTCTCCGCCTGCTCCGCTTCGGCTCAGGGCAGCGACTGCGACGGCTGGGTGAAGGAGCGCCTCGCTTGCCAGGCACGACGGGCAGAGCACCGAGCCCTCCGCCCCGCCCACGCCTGACGTCAGGCCAAGGCGTGTGGTCCACCGAAGCTGGAGGATGAAGGAAGGAAACAGCTAATTCGCAGGGAGGGGTGGGGGGTGGACAGAGCAGGACGTTCCTCTTTCTTTCCCCTAGTTTGGGTTTCAAATTTGAGTAGGGGCTCATCGACATTTCTGGTAGCATCTACTACGACCTAGGTGCCGAGTTCATCGGTGGCTCCTTTGCGGGTCCACCCTTTAAGGCTAGCAGCCCCTCGCAGCCTTGCGTTCGTGGAGGTAGCCGGAGTACCAGGCTGCCAGCTGGACAGCCTTACTGATCACCCTGTAACAAGAGGGGGTTCATGCATTCCTCTCGTGAGGGGCCTGGTACGTTCGTTGTAAAGTTCTGGTTTCCTTGGGGGAACAGAACGGCTGGGCGCAGTAGGTGCGCTTTCTTTAGTCTTCCCCGTTCCCACTCAGGGCCGAAAAGGGTTAAGTCTTGGCTGCAGCATCTTGGGAGAAGGTAAGGCCGAGGAAGTATGAGGTGAGGGGTTAGGAACTGGGTGTCGAAGAGGTGTGGCTGCAGTCTTTTTTGTTTGTTAGTCAGGTGGAGTGAGTGGGAAGTTTCTAGAACCTTAGCAAATAGAGTTAAGGGCTTGTTTGGCCAGAACAGAGGTTTTCCCTTACCTTTCCCCTACTCCCATGCCACACAGGACGAACCATGCCTGTGCATGAGGAAATGCATTTAAAAAGATCTTATGGTGTGAAACGCAAGACTATTTCAGCTGTACCTCATCTCCTCGGGGCTTTCTTTCCTTTTCGATATATATTGTAATTGTATTTAAAAAAAAATTCCTTCCTCTCCGTTTGATGAGACTGATTTAGGTATGTGGCACGTGGAGAAGGGAATCAATCCCTTTAGAGATTCTGACACCTGGGAGAGACGTTCATTGCGACTTTTCAATTCTTTCAAACAGCAAAACTTAACAGCGGAGATCCTCATTGAAACACTTAGTGTAAGAGATATTTCTCAGGGCTTGTTTTCAAAGATAAATCCAATATCAGATCACAACCCATTTCTTTTTTACCAACTCCCACGATTTCATTTCATCGAGATGAAATAACCCATCTTCGAGGTGTATGTCCTCTTTTTAATGGTAACGTGATTGAGGAGTCACGAATATTGCCAGGGGAAAAGGGTTTACAGCTCTTCACTTTGATTAACACACACACAGTCACATGGGATTTTTGTTTGAGTTGTTTGAGACCTCATCAAATCACTTAGAAAAGGTTTGGCAATTCTTATCAGGCTTGGGAACTTTTCAGAGCCTGGAGATGGTGGTGTGTTATTTATTGGCTTTGCATGATACCTTTATTCTAATGAACTATGGAGAAAGCATTTAATCTTTATGCCAAAAGGAAGAGCCTAAATTTGAATGTTGTTAATTAAATCCAGAGAGAAGGTTTCACTATTAAGTGTCCTTTTAAAGAGCTTACAGATTTTTTTTAGAGGAAGATGTATTTGCTTCCCTTTTTACTTAACAATTCTGTATTGAGCCAAATATTTGATGTTAACAGAAACAGGAAAAAATAAAATAACTAGTCAAGTTTCTCTGTTAGGGGACTATGAAGATCCCTCCCCACCCCTCTTCTTCCTTTCTAAAGTCTCACTCTGTATGTAGCCCAGGATGGCTTTGACTCTCTATTTAGCCCAGCTTAGCCTTGAACTTATGGAGATCCTCTTGCTTCAGCCTCTTGTGTACTGAAATTATAAGCATGAGACTTATACCTGGCAAGAAGATGCATTTTTACATAATTATTTCCAACTCCTCATAGACTCTTTCCTTGACATTAAGTTAATAGGTTAAGTGAACTGATAGAAGGGATTCTGAAACTGAAATAAATACTTGAGCATACCGTTTCTTGATTTTTTTTTTTAAAATAGAGTATATCCCCATATTATAAGTACTTTCTTGAAAGGTTTACACAGGCAGCCCTGAGTGGTCCCAAGTTCTGGTATCTGAAAGTTCTTAATGTCATGTCCAGAGCAAGCTTGGCTTTCTCTTTTCTCTCCCCTGTAACCCACATACTCATGTAGTCAAGTTTATATTTTAGAATATAGATATGACAAGCAGTATTTGAAGAGTATAAAATAGAATTTTTCGAATGAAAGCTAGCTTTTTCTTTTTAAGGACATATTTGTATGTCACTGTAAAATATTGAAACTGTTCATTTTCTTTTCTTTCTTCTAGTTATAGTTATTCAGTATGTTTCCACTGACTGAAGGAAACAGGCATGTGGCCCAGCTGATGTTCAGTTCTGGCACCTGTCCAAGGTGCATCTTCCGATTCTGTGGTGTGGCTCTTCCGGCACCTTACAAACGCCCAACCAAGGTATATTCTTTTTAAATTAAAGGATATTTTTTATAGTATGGAATGAATGTCTCTAGCATTGAGTACTGTGACTAGCCTATAACTCCACTAAAGAAGGAAAATTAACAAAAGATAATTTTGAAACTTCAATTTCCTTAAAAACTTGATGTAGTTGGTTTTCAAGTGACTGCTGTTTAACAGTTAGTGTAGAGAGAGATCTATGTAGGACTTTTTTTTTGCTATGTTTAATATATGTGTAAATATTCTGTAAACGGCATCTAAATACAATACCACAAGATATTGCTTCTCACATCCATTAATGCAAAACAACAGGACGGAGCAGGTCATAGTCATGATTTCTTCTTTTAAATAGAAAATGAGTTTGGTTATGTTTTTTAAAATTAATTTTTTCTCTATTATTTTTATGAGACATACATATATGACTATGATGTGAGTGCTTGTATAATTTATGCATATGTTGTGAGTGCTTGTGTGTGTCTGTGTGTGTATTTGTAATAAGTTCTCTTCTTCTATCATAGACTCTGGGAAATCAAACAGGTTGTTAGACTTGTGTGAAAAGTGCTCTTACCTAACAGGCTGTATTGCCTGGTAACCAGTCCCTTGCTGTGTATTACCATTTATATGCATGTGTGTATTCTTCTGATGCTGGGATAGAGCCCAGGGCTTCACACAGCCAGCATTCTGTCACTGATCCATGTGCCCAGCCTGCCACTGTGTCACTCAGTGAAATGTGTCCTTAATGACGTTTGGCTTGTGAAACCATGATGGAGTATACTTAAGATGGCTGCAGTATTGTTAGTCACTGTAATCCTAAGGGTCCACTAGCCATAGCTGTGCAGTCTGTTGTTGTCAAGAACATTGTGTGTTACCTGGCTCTGTGGGAAGCCTTTAAAAGCAAGGGCTTATTGAATCATTATTCCTGATACTAGTAACTTAAGATAGTCTTTCACATTTACAGTATTACATAGAGAGCTGTGCCATTGAATAGAATACTTTCACATAAAGTATATAACATACTTGTGACATATGATTGATACTAACAGTGACATTCTTTTTAAAGGCAAATACTTATATACATATGTATACTTATATACACTTATATATACTTATATACATGTGTAAATATGAATATATACTTATATACTTATATACATGTGTAAATATGAACACTCATACAAGTTGCTAATAAATGATGCAGCAGTCACTATCATTTTTCTGTCATTGTGTTGTTTCTATGTTAGAAATAAAAACAGTGCCTAGTGTGTGTCTAGTGTTGTTACATGTCAGGCTTTCATTTGATCATTTGTAAGTACATGCTATGATTGTCTCTATTTTCAGATGAAGCAACTGAAACACAGAGAGGTTAAGCAGCTTGCCCAAAGTTAAACAGCTATTAAATAAGAAAGCTAGGAATTGAACAATGTGTCTGAATCCAAAGTGTAGAATTTGGAGCTAGAAGACGTGGATTTGAATCTCAGTTCCATCACTGTACAGCTTCAGTTTACTACTGTGTACATGGGAATGGTGACACCTTCTACTTCACAGGACTTTAAGGGACGTTATCAATTATTAAGTATGTGAAAGGAATTAGAAACCAGTAATAGCACATAGGCAGTGACAGTTGCTATGTGTGTAAACGCTCAGCTTATATCCAGCTTTGTGTAACCTTTCTTATATGCTCTTTGCACATGTCTCATACACACACACTATATACATATATATATAAGTATATAATATGTATACACACACATATATATTATATACTGTATTCAAAAATACATTTTCTATAAATCTGGCAGCAATTTTGACTTGTAATATTCTTTGTGAATAATTATTCAAAGGCTTTTTTTGAAATGTTTTAAGTTTTGTCTTGTTCCAGTCATATAGCTATACATGAGCAAACACACGTACATACTATCTTACACTAATGCTACGGATGTTAGGTAGCAGTCAGCATTTGTATGGGTCGTAATATACCAAGATGTGTGTATGTGTGATGCTTGTGAAAATTGGCGTGCTAACGCATAAACAATGAATTTAATGTTTGACTGAAACAATGTTCTTGAGGTGGTATAGCCTAACTAAATTCGAACTTTATCCAACGACGGAACAGTCAAACCAGCCTGATGTAGTAGAAGCACAAGGAAAGCGGAGTGTTTACATGGGTGGAGTGGCAAAAGCAGCAGCCTTTGAAAGTGGAGGCATGTTTTTACATTCAAGTACACAGGATGTAAGAAATTAGACAGAAATGTAGACCAGGGCTTCTTTTGCTGAGTGCATATAAATGGAATGTAATTTATATTTAATACTACCAAATCTGTGTATTTTGGTAAATTGTCTGAAAAATTATCTGCACTTACTCAACCTCTAAATAATATTTCACATTAACTCACACTATGCTTATGAGGTTGTTAAATAACTTAGCAAGAAATCAACTTGTACTCCCCCTATCAAGTATATAAGTATATACATGTGTGTGCTGATGTACAGCTATATAAGATAGTATGTACATGTGTGTGCTTATGTACAGCTATGTGACTGGAGTAAGACAAAGCTTAAAACATTTCAAATAATTTTTAAATATTTTGTTTATTTATTCACAAAGAATATTACAAGTCAAAAGTGTGTGTGTGTGTGTGTCTGTCTGTCTGTCTGTCTATTTCTTTTGTTTCTTTGCTGTTTGAGATAGAACCCAAGGCTTCATGTATGCTAAGCAATATTCTGCCACTGAGCCACATCTCCATGCTAGTTTATATTTTTATGTTTTCATAATTAGAATTGAATTTTTCTTGTTTTACTCAGTAGTTTAATGACCTTCCCAACAGAACTACAAACCAGTTTTGTAAATCTGTTGATGGAATCTTTCTCCATAAGATTAGGGTTTTAGCTTCACTGATTTGTGAAATTCTGGAAAAAATTCACCTATGTAATAGGCATTTGATCAGCATGAGGATTAAATGCATTAGCAATAAATTCAGAGTCACCAGTAATGCACTAGTGTGGCGTTAAGGACAGAAATCAAGGCACTTGTCTTTGACGTCTTTTAACCCAGAGGGAGCCAGATTCAAATTCTCTACTTGGTTCTCACTGTGTTGCCCACCATTCTGTCTCTGGTGTGGAAGTCTGAGTCTGACTGCCTGAAGGCTCTCTTGTAAAATTATCCCTGTGTTGGTCTGTCCCTGACAAAGGCTTTTGTTCTCTTTAAGTTTTTATATATTTTTAAATTTCATTTTTAATTGTCTGTATGTGATGTATGCTATGCCATGTGGGTACCTACAGAGGCCAGCATCATCGGAGCTGCTGAAGCTGGAGTTATAGACTGTTGTGAGCTGCTCGATGTGGACCTCGGGCAGAACAATCCGCGCTCTTAACCGCCGAGCCATCTCTCTAGCCCAATCTCTTTAATTGAACAGCAGAGAAATCATCACATGGACAAGGAATGAGAAATACTTAACAGAAATAGTTAATAGTTTTACAAGAGCTAAGTATGACTCCAACTGACCCAGATAGCAAACCCTATCAGGCAATAGCTGAGTGCTGATTTTAACATTTATGATGGATATTTATTTTTAAGGCTGGTCTTAGCATATTTGCTGTTTCCAGGTTGTATTCCTCCCCACACACCGTGTCTCTGTCTGTCTGTCTGTCTGTCTGTCTGTCTATTTCTTTGCTGTTTGAGATGGAACCCATGCTTCATGTATTGGGAAAGTTCGTTTCTCAGAATTCCTAGAAAGCCAATGCTGTAGATACTTGGTTACTCCTGAGTTGATATAAACCAGTGATGTGTGAGTCCCTGTTATTAATCTTCTCTACACCTTGTTTCGAGACAGTGCCTCACCCAGCGCCTGGGTGGGTTGAACTCATAAGCTATCTGCTGCCTCTGCCTGAGTGAGCCTGCTCTGTGGGATCTAGAGTGCTGGCATCCATGACATGCAAGGCAGAGCAGTAGTACTGCCTTTAATCCCAGTGCTCGGAGGCAGGCCTCTTGTGCAGTAACATTCATTACTGGTGACTCTGAATTTATTATTAATGTACTTAATCCATGCATTAATTAAATACCTATTACATATGTGAATGGTTTTTCAAAAGAATTTTATAAATCAGTGAAGCTAAAACCCTGACATTAAGGAGCAAGGTTCCTCAACAAAATTAAAAATCTGGCTATTAGTTCTATTGGGAAGGTCATTCACTACTAGTTAAACAAACAAAAGTCATCACACTTGGCCGACTTTCATGCTTCATTGTGAGACCCTCAAAACCACTTTAAAATGTTATTGCTTTTTTCTTACTAACTTTTCAGGAGTTGCTCAGTGATCTACAAAAATTTCTAGAACCAAAAAAACATGAATTAGTTTTGGAAGCTCCAAACCCACCATTGAAGAAAATTCGTCTACATGAAGATGGCATTGATAATTTGAGTGAATATGGAAAGGAGGGAGTCTGTGTTACAGAAGACGAAAGCATGGCCTCGAAGCTGAGAGTGTGCAATGTTTGCTTAGGAATTCTTCAGGGATTCTGTGAGAAGGGGTTTGTTACAGAGGTAAACATCCCTTGCCCAGCAGAGCTGAGCCGATAGATAGAGTCAGTCATAAAGCTGAGAGGCCTTCGATGCGCCCACCATTCCTAAACACCAACAGCCATGCCCGCTTGCTTTATTCCAGGTTGTCACTAACATGTTTTAATTAAAAAAGGCCAGCTATTCTGAAATCGTTGTATCAACATACTGGAAAATTAATAAAAAATGTCTGACACCCAACGTATTGTCCTGAAACTGCCAGTTGTACAGGGTCATAGTCAACAAATATTTAATCTCATGATGTTTATGACAAGCTCGCTACTCAGATGTAGAAGTTTTGTGATTGCCTTTTGGGGAGAGCTAGAGACTGGCCTGGCACATGCTAGGCAAGCACAGTACCACTGAGCCTCAGCCGGAGCTCCTAACTGAATGCTGGGAAGCTGTGAGTGTCCTGGGAGAATTTTTTTTTTTTTTGAGAAATTTTGTTATTAAAGCCACATTTTCAGGAATTCTTGGCAGTTTACTTGTTTGTAATATTCTTTTAGGTGTGCCAAAAGGTTGAAGCCTCTGGGTTTGAATTCAGCAGTGTGGTTTTATCTGTCTCCTTCCCACCGCAGCTGTCTGTGAGAGAGGTAAGGTCATTTGCTCGCTTCAGAGCATGTGTAAAATGTATGCTAGGAATTTCTAATTTCTAAAGCACAAGCAAACAAAAATGGGAATGTAAGCTTGGTACTCGTCGCCTTAGCATTGGATGTGGAAGCAGGATGCCGAGGAGTTTGAGGCCATTCCTGGGCATGGAATCATGTGTGTTGCATGATGGGACATGAGCAAGCATGACCAGACATGCCTCAGATTCACGACACAGGTGATTTTGAATTAATTTTGGTTGTTGCACATTCAGAAACCTTTTACCATTGTCTGTTTTTTTTTCTTGTAACCCCTCCACATTCAGCTGTGTGACACCAGATGTGGTTGTCACCCACAGTCTAAAAGGCTACATTGATTAAAAATCACGTTTAGCCAAATGTATATAATTTGAGAACTTTTTATTTGAAGTGTCAACATATATAAAGTTTATTCACAGGTAGACACGGTGGCTCCTGCCTGTGAGCTCAGTGTTCAGGACCTAGTGCAGAAGGATTGCTAGGCATTTGAGCCCAGCTTGAAGAGTTTCCCAAGCACCGTCCCAAAGATTTGTATGTGTTTGGTCAGGTAGGGCTTAGGAATTTGCATTCTAATCAGCAAACTCACCTGTGCTGTTGTTACAACGGCTACACTTTGAGGAATTAATACTCCTAAGACTTTTTTTTTTAACATTTTTATTTTGTTTTATTTGTGTGTGTATGTATCTGTGAGTATGTACATGTGCATGTGTGTGTACCTGTGTAGAAGTCAGGACAACTTGCAGTAACTGGTTCTGTCTTTCTGCCATGTAGGTCCCAGGCATTGAACTCAGGTCATCATCCTTGACAACAGGTCCCTTTACCTGCTAAATCATCTTGCTAGCTCAAAATTAAGAATTAAAAAAATCTATTTCTATGTATTCTTGAAAGTAGGGAGATGTCAGGGGCATCCCTGCTTATACACTGAAGGCCTAAAATCAGCCATAGGCCTAAAATCAGCAATAGGCCTGTCATACATGTATACTAACACCAAGTCTTGGGTTTCTGTGGATAAACACTGAAACAGATGGCTATAAGCTATTGTAAACAGGCAGTTTTTGTGACAATTTACCAGCCTGAGTAGTCATAGACCTTGTAATTAGGTAGCCTTGGCAGATATTACCAACTTAGATAAGAACAAGTGAATAATAGGCATAGTTATAGTGACCTATCCCCTGAACCCTCACCCAGCTGATACCCTGTTCTGAAAAATATCTGTATTCCCCCTGAACACCCACGCTCCAGTATCATCCCCTTCCCCACGTCCTGCCTTTTTGTGTTTATAACCCCTGTGTGAATGAGTATAAATTACAATTTGAAAAAAATTTATATATATATATATATATATATATATATATATATATATATATTGCTAATGGAGTGAAAAATTGCTAAGGGAGATTTGTGTAGTTAGGACAGCAAACAAATGAAACAGAAGACAGGCCTACATGGAATGATGTACACTGTTGATGATGGAGAGAAAGCTGAGTTCTGAAAATCTTGCTTTGCTTCTGGCTTTCTGTCAGGGAAAATGTGATCATGTGATCTTCCTCAAAAAAAAAAAAAAGGTAGAAGGATCATTCTGGGGAGAGGAGAGTGAAGGCTCCGCCTCCGGCTCCACAAAGTGATGTTTTCCTAAACGGGCTCAAGTCTTCTGGCTTCGGAAATAATTCTATTTCAAGATAGAGTTAAAACAGCCTGCAACTGCTCCTGCTCCTCGGGGATGTTAAAAGGCAGCATATTTTCCAAGCGATTGGAGACAAAATGAATAAAGTTGATTCTGAAAATTAGCAGCTGGTAAATCTCAACTGCAAAGCTCAGTGAGCCTCTGGACCAGAAGCTCCAGGGTGAGCTGTGGGCACTGAGCTCGAGGAAGGACGAGTTTGCTGAGAGCAGAGTTTGTCTGCAGTGTGTAGTGGAGTGGTAGAGTGTGGCAGTGTGGCACCTTCAGTGTGGCTGCGTCTTAGCCAGATGGATGGCGAGTCTCTCAAAATGATTTCCTGACAGTGGCCAGAACATGGGTAGGACCACTGAATGCAACTGACTGGGTTGTGCTGGACTGTCTGTATCTGAAAGGAGCTGAATGGGTGACTAATCCCAAGCTGGACAGTGTTCTTAAACATGGTCTGAAGTTCCGCCAAGTGAAACTCCATTGAGAGAAGATGTTAGAATAGATGCTGCGTCTTGACTTTCTGTCCTCCCAAATCCCAATCTCCAAAAGTAGGACACAGAAGCCCTTTGATGGCACCTGCACATTGGACACAGCATCACTGAACTGCAGGGAAGTTCCTGATATGCTTCAGGGCTCTCTCCTGCTCTCTTCTGTCCATAGTTTATGATAGTGAAGATGTATGTGAACCTCACTGTGGGCTACATGACACAGGGCTAAGAGTGCAGCAGACATGTTGAATGCTACAGGTAATTCACAGAGAGCTTATGAAAAAGAACAGTCTAAAAAGACGAACTAATAAGAATAAATGTGAGTTCTTATGCCTGAGTTTAAGAAGCCGTCTCCAAGTAAAGGAATGATGTAATGTGTTTACTGAGATGCCTCCGGAGTGTTAGTTAGAGGTGCTTAAAGAGACAGTAAGCCAAGTGGATGACATGAGGTGGGATGCAGTGTAGCTAATGCTCAGCTCCTGGCCCACCTGGATGAAAAGGTGACAGTTGTCTTTGCTTAGTGCTCCTGTTCTTGGAATGCCATGCTTACATGGAGGTTTCTGCTTTAGAAGGAACAAGGACAGCCAGGCAGTGGTGGCACATGCTTTTAATCCCAGCACTTGGGAGGCAGAGGCAGGAGGATTTCTGAGTTCGAGGCCAGCCTGGTCTACAGAGTGAGTTCCAGGACAGCCAGGGCTACACAGAGAAACCCTGTCTCAAAAAAGAAAAAAAAAGCCGGGCGGTGGTGGCGCACGCCTTTAATCCCAGCACTTGGGAGGCAGAGGCAGGCGGATTTCTGAGTTCCAGAGTTCGAGACTAGCCTGGTCTACAGAGTGAGTTCCAGGACAGCCAGGACTACTCAGAGAAACCCTGTCTCGAAAAACCAAAAAAAAAAAAAAAAA